GACAGGTTGCTATGATGCGCCCTGACCACCAGGGGACAGACACACAACACAGGAGCTGCCCCTGGTGGTCAGTGCACTACCACAGGGAAAGCGCCGCTCAGCTAGAAGCCCGGCTCAGGGCTGGGAAGCACAGCAGCAGTGGCGGGAGCCTCTCCTGCCTCTGTGGCAGCGCTAAGGATGTCCGACTGCTAGCTTAGTCCCATTCCCCGCAGGGAGCAGGCCTAAGCCAGCAGTCGGACACCCCCCAAGGGCTCCGGGACTGCAAGAGGGTGCAGGCGAGGCTGAGGGACACCGCCCCCCCCCCAAGTGCACAAATTTCATGCACCGGGCCTCTAGTATATTATAAACAATCTTTATCTATTTAGTATTTAAAGGAAATGAAAAATTTTAATGTCTCCTTCACCTACTATTGGCTTACATATTTGCTTAGCACCCCTAGCTGTTTGGCTCAGTGGATAGAGCGTTGGCCTGAGGACTGAAGGGTCCTGGGTTCGATTCTGATGAAGGACACATGCCCGGGTTGCAGGCTCAATCCCCAGTAGGGAGTGTGCAGGAGGCAACCAATCAATGATTCTCTCAGCATTCATGTTTCTATCTCTCCCTCTCCCTTCTCTGATGAATAGAAAAAAATATTTTTTAAACAAAAGAGGACATTTATGAAAGCTCAGTAATAAGAATATGGAGATAAGCTAGAAGGAAATCAGAAAAATTTTCCAATGAAAATCGAAGACCTATTCTAAAAGGTAAAAGTGGAGGAATAAAAAACTCAGCATATAAAGTTCTGCACATGTAAAATGCTATAAAATATATACAAACAAATTAGTGGAGAGTCCCTGAGTAATTTTAAACTAGGCTAGACAACACAGAAATAATTAAGAATTCTTTGCTAACCATATTAAGGACAACATGCGTTAATACACTGATTTCACCTTTCTTTTAGGTCATATCCCATATCTTTCCTCAGTTTATCTGTATCTAAACTTCAAAGAACATTATATCTCTACATTTTCAAATATTTGAATTATCCCAAAGATCCCCTTCTTAAAAAGCAATTCCTTTCGAAAAATCACTTCAGGTAATTTATCATCAACCTTCTTTAAAAACTTACTTTTGCCCTGACTGGTTTGGCTCAGTGGATTGAGCGTCGGCCTGCGGACTCAAGGGTCCCAGGTTAG